TACTCCAAGAGTAACATAGTATAAGCACTGAAGACAAACAATCTGAGCAACAATAAGCCAAGGATCCCATACAACTGCACCATAGAACATGGCTCCAACCGCCTCCTCTAAAGTACAGTAACTCCTTCAACGCCCAGATCAACAAAATTCCACAGAATGAGAATCTACTTCTTTAAAGTCACTTCCCAATTCCTCATAAAACAAACAAATTCCTTGGAATCCAGGTCCCAAATCCTCCTCTAAAAGAAACTAACTCCTTCTCAAAACCTAGTGACAACCCAATTTCCTCAAACCCAGCTCTTGAATCCTGACAGATGGACCAATTTCCATAAATTCAATTTGCAACTCCCCGGAGCATGCCAAATTTTCGAACTCAGTTTCTAAAATTTCTTCCCAGTTTTTCCAAAATCAAAGTCGATCACAACCCAGTTTAGGACGATGTCTTTTGTCTCCAATCAAAACGTATTTGGATCTGAGAAAATTAAAAAAAAAAATTAATGAGAAGCAATCAAAGCGAAAGAAGGAAAATTGAGAAGAAATCTGGAAATAGACAGGCAATTAGAAGAATAAACTAAAGACTGTTTCTTGGGTATAAAAAAATCAATCTCTGCATGAATTATTATTATTGTTGAGGAGTTTGTTGATTAAGTTTGAGTACATCCATATAAACCAATATATATACCCATACGATACAGACAAAAAGAGAAGAAGACTAACCGCTGCGATCAACGACGAGAGACCCTAGAAGACTGCCTTCTGCAGGGAGAGAGGAAGTGGATTCGCCGGCAGGAAGAGAAAAGGAGAATCGGAGTCACCTGAAATTTTCATCCTCCAGAAATTATTATAAAAATAAAAAACGAAAATTGTGAATTTTTTTAAAGGTGAAATCAAATGCTACAGCACTACTTATTAAATTTAATTTTCAATACTACTTTCCTTTTTTGTAATTTTTTTTTTTTTTTTTTTTTAAATGTACTCGGGAAGTAATAGTATTAGATTTTTGTAAGGTAGAGCAAGTTCTGGCCCCCCCAAGGGAAAGTGGACCACTGAAAACAGAGGAGTTAATTAATTTGGACTGGGTATTTAAGTAAAGTTTTAAAATGGGTTTGGACACCGGGCCTAAAATTAGAATGTTAATTCAATTAATATGATGAATTTAATTAAAAATATTTAATAAATAATGCAAAAATTACACAGATTAACTAATACGTAATTTAATGGAATGAACCCTAACTCAATCCACTAACTTCGTCTACAAAATTTAACCCAGCTAACTACGATTCAAATCGAGAAGTGGCCGCAGATTAGGGAGGATCCAAAATCGAGCTGTGAAGGGATTCCGGTACCTTTTTCTGACCGAACCTTGGGTAAGTGTTCTGACAACCTAACCCCGAAGCCATATATTGGGATTTGATTGATAAATGGATAAATTTGATGCTTGGAAGGTGCAAGTTCGTACAGGGAAGAGGAGGTCCGAACCGATGTGGGCTTTCCGGGCGTGTTTTATTGACAAAATTCCCTAATTTTCTACTAGTGTTGTTGTACAGCTTATACAGGTTTTGCTGGCTCGAGTTTTTTCGGTTTATACGCTCTGCAATCTGCTTGTGTGCGA